CGGAACCGACTCGACGGCACTTAACAACAACAACAAATATATATATATATATATATTTTTTTTTTTTGCCAAACTCTTCCCCCTCTCATTCCTTTGGTTAAAAACAAAACAAAACAGTTTCTGCATAATGTTATTTATGACAATCCCAAAGAAATATCACTCCTTAGTGAGCTGGTGCAGTTCAAGTTGGTTTTAACCATTTAATTTCCAGAAACAGTGATTCCAACCTTTTACCATATTGAGAGAAAAAGGTAAAGTTCTTCCAACCATGATAGTTGTAAGTTTAGAAACTACATGGTGATAATTACTACTATAAATTGAATGCCATTTAACATGAATAGATGCATTATTGGTCTCCTGGTGTGGTGCTGTAGGATCAGCACTGGACTGTGAACCACAAGGTCGGCAGTTCAAACCCACCAGCTACTTCACAACAACAGATTCATCATTAAGGTTTCTAAACTCTTGAAAAACAAAATAATGCATGCTTTGGGGTACAATTGCTTATTTTATTTACAGTTACTATTTTGTGCACACATAAATTCAGATCCCTTATATTAATCTTGTAAGTCCCAGACTCTTGACCCATAAACTGGAATGCCTTGACCTGGGTTACCCTAAAAGTGTCTCTTTCATCACCATTTCTGACAATGTCTTCTTTTCCTCCAGTGCCACCCACTGTCCAGGCCAGGCAGAGCGTAGTGAATGCCACAGCCAACCTGGGACAATCTGTTACCCTGGTGTGCGATGCTGAAGGCTTCCCAGAGCCCACTATGAGCTGGACAAAGTAAGACACAGGCCCAAGCCTTGGACTTTGGACTCAAGGAGAAAGGAGCATCCTGAAGCCCTTTTAGGCCCTATGTTAGCATTTCAGTAGAATGGGTGGGCTTCACCCTAGGTGAAGAACGGATTGTCTTCTGTAAGATCCTCTTGCCTTATGCTTTTAAATCCTTAATTTTCAATCTTGTGGGGGCAGAACCAGAGGATATGACTTGGGAGAATTCTCTGAAGCCTTTGAGGTGGTACAGGTTCCAGCCCTCAGACAGACTCAGATGACTAGATGGAGGAAATAAAGGGTATTTGTCATGTTAGCCTTTTCTGAACATGGAGTCCTTCCATTTGGTTCAGCCTGCATTTTATGGAAATTAGTTAAAAAATAAATGTCTTTTTCTCTGTGGTCAAAATTGTGGCTCTTTTGGTTTCTGCACTCTACAGGGATGGGGAACAGATAGAAGACGAGGAGGATGAGAAGTATATCTTCAGCGACGACAGTTCTGAGCTAACCATCAGGAAGGTGGATAAGAATGATGAGGCTGAGTATGTCTGCATTGCTGAGAACAAGGCCGGCGAGCAGGACGCATCCATCCACCTCAAAGTCTTTGGTAAGGGCAGTAGGGGTCAAGGTCACTGCCCCGGCACATTGCTTTTGCCCTACATGTTCTATCCATCAGTAAGACCCTGTCCACTTTACCTGAGAAATACATTCCAAATGCAATTATATCCTGTCAGCTTCACCACTGAAGGCCTAATCCACTGGCCTTCTAGTACAACTAGAATACCTTCCAGACTCTGTACCATGTCCTATAAGACTAAATATGACTTCACTTCAGCCCTTTTTCTCTGTCTTGACTTTTTCTTCACTTTGTTCTATGTTGAAGCTTTCCAGCCACACAGCTCTTCTTTCTGTCCCTCAGACGCAACAGTCTTGTTTCCTGTCTCAGTAACTTTGCTCCCAGAGTTGCTTCTCCTTAGAATATCTTAGTGCTTCTTCTTCTCCGCATTTATCAGTACCTGAACTTCTACTGTGCATGTATTTATATGGGGTAGCGTTTATCTCCCATCCGCATTAGGAAGTAAGCTCCAACATGGCAGAACTCTAGTCATATTGTACATTGCTTTACCCCTGGTATTCTAAATAGCACCATATGAATTCTGTTGTTATTGTTGTTGTTGTTGTTGTTGTTGTTGTTAAGTGCCATCGAGTTGGTTCCAACTCATAATGACCCTGTGTAGGGTTTCCAAGGAGCGGCTGATGAGTTTGAACTACCAACCTTGTGGTTCAAACCAACCTTACAGTCCTTGGCTCCTGATTCACAGGGACACCATGTATAACACAAAGAAATGGTGCCCTGTCCTGGACCATCCCCATGATTATCTGTGGATCAGACCTTATGCTCCATAGGATATTCATTGACTGACTTTCTGAAGCAGATCTTCAGGCCTTTCTTCCTAGTCTGTCTTAGTCAGGAAGCTCCACTGAAACTGGTAGCATCATATTAGGACACAGAGTAAACACGTGACACGTTGGCCCTGAGGATCAAGGAAATAAATGTATGTTGCTGTTGTTACGTGCTGTTGAGTCAGTTCTGACTCATAGCGACCCTGTATAGAGTTTCTGAAGAGCAGCTGGTGAGTTTGAACCGCCAACCTTGTGGTTCAAACTGACCCTGCAGTCCAGTGCTTATCTTACAGCACCACACCAGACTCTATGCATATAAATTATAACAGTGTTAGTCAAGAGCAGGTGAGTACCTCTATGAGCCTGGCATTGCCAAGGTTAAAAGATGAATAACGTGGAGACTGTTCTCATCTGTAGGTGGACTGACTAATGTAAGTAGCCAATCCTGATATGTTGAGTGGCAGCCCATTGTAATTTGTAGTAACAACAGGGAGAGAAAGTCTCTTGTGCTTCATGACAGAAGTTAGAGAAGTCTTCATACAGTGCTATTCATACGTAGGAGTTCCCTGCACAAACGGGATGGGTGATATTTTGGCAGCTCAGACCCTGAGGCAGGAAAAGCACAGACTGTGACAGTTAGCTTCATGGGCAGAAATGTGCTTCTGTTTCATTCACAGTTGTATTCCCAGCACCTAAAATAGTTCTTGGAGTCCTGGTGTGGCACCGTAGGTTAATGCACTAGACTGCAAAGTCAGTTTGAGCCTCAAGTTCAGCAGTTCAAGCTCACCAGTCACTCTTCAGAGACCCTATGCAGAGTCTCAATGAGTCAGAACTGACTCAACGGTACATAACAACAACAAAATAGTACTTGGTATATAATAGGGGTGGTGGTGGTTATGTGCCGTGGAGTCGGTTCCAACTCATAGCAACCCTGCATAGAATTTCTGAGGCTATAAATCTTAATGGGAGCAGAAAGCCTCATCTTTCTCCTGCGGAACGGCTGGTAGTTTCAAACTGCTGACCTTGAGGGTAGCAGCCGGATTCATAACCACCATGCTACCAGAGCTCCTTTGGCATATATTGTTGTTGTTGTTGAGTGCCGTCCAGTCAATTCCAACCCATTGTGACTGTATAGGATTCCCAAGGAGCAGCAGGTGAGCTTGAACTACCGACCTTGTAGTTCAAACAACTTTGCAGTCTGACGCATTAGCCCACAGCACCACACCAGGACTCCTTGGCATATATAGGTATGTTGTTGTTGTTGTTGTTGTTAAGTGCTGTAGAGTCGGCTCCGATCCATAGCGACCCTGTAAAGGGTTTCCAAGGAGCAGCTGGTGAGCTTGAATGGCAGACCTTGCAGTTCAAACGGGTTTGCAATCTGGCACATTAACCCACAGCGCCACACCAGGACTCCATATATAGGTATGTTCTTGTTGTTAAGTGCCTTCGAGTCGGTATAGATGTTAGTATTTCGGTGGGGGCAGGGTGGCTCAGTGATAGAATTCTCACCTTTCCTGTGGGAGGCCTGGGTTCAAATCCCAGCCAGTGATCTCATGATAAGCCCCACCCACCCTGTCAGTGGAGGCGTCTGTGCTGCTCTGAGGCTGAACAAGGTCAGTGGAATTTGCAGACTAAGTCGAACTAGAAAGGCCTGATATCCACGTGCAAAAACTAGCTAGTGGAATTCCTGTGTGTCACAATGATCTGATGTTCTTCTGATGATGCCAGACCCGGCCACATTTTGTATATGGGGTTGCCCACAAGTCAGGGGCCAACTCTGTGGCAACTAATAACAACAGTGAGTCTTTGACTAACAAAGGTCACACAGCAATCAATTCCCTGTGAATGACGCATAATGCTTGTGGCAGGAGATGTGCCTGCATATATGCCATTATCACTTGTCTTGTGGTCCCTGGTTTTACATCATTGTTCTTTAGGGACTGTTTTGAGACATTATGCACCCCCTCACATAAACTAAATATGATCCTTGTGTTGTTGAATTGAGCATGTATCATGTGCTAAACATATGAGCAGTGATTTCTGTAAATTAGCTAATTTAATCCTCCCCACACACAACCCTGTGAGGTAGATTTAATTACCATCTCCAGTTTACAAATGAGGAAACTGATTAGATGACCTACACCCAAAGTCACACAGTTAGTATGTGGGAGAACCAGAGGTCAAGTCCAGACTGGTGGCTTCAAAGTTCTTCCCTAAGCTAAACAATGCTCGAGACCATCCACAATGTGGTTGTTGTTGTTGAGAAGTGCTGTCCAGTCAGTTCCAACTCATAACGACCCTGTATAGGGTTTCAGAGGAACAACTGGTGAGCTTGAACTGCCGACCTTACAGTTTAGCGGCTTCGCAGTCTGGCGCATTAACTCACAGTGCTACACCAGGACAGTACACAATATCCTACTTTAATCCCTACCTGCTGCACTTGACTGGGAATCACAAAGTCAGCAGTTCAAACCCACGAACTGCTCCTAGGGAAAAAGATGAGACTGACTGCTTCCCTTAAGATTGACAATGTAAGAACCCCTCCGTAACACTTTGAGGTAGAATTGTGTCCATGGTAGTAGGTTTCATTTTGGTTTGGGGTATCTGAACTGTACATGTATAACCAGTAATCACTAATATCTGTGTTCTATACTTTTGTTGTTATTGTTGTTGTGGACCATCAGGGCAATTCCAACTCATAGTGATGCTGTCTGTATAGGGTTTCTGAGAGCAGTTGGTTTTGAACTGCCAACCGTGTGATTCCCAGTCCAGTGCTTATCCTACAGCACTACCATAGAAACCATGGTTCATGTGTAGAAGTACACTTAGCTCGAACTGGGCTTGTCAAGGCTCATCCTGTTTCTATTCTGGGTGTCTGGTGGTGATCACGGCCCCAGGAAGGGAGGTTGGGTACTGAGGCAAAGTTTTGTGGAGGACATGGTAGAGTGAAGAGAATGGGAACCAGCCAGGGGGAGGAGTAACAAGGCAGGGAGCAACATTGGATGGGAGGCGATTCTATGGCAAGACAGGATTTATCTTTCCATCCCTGTCGCTTACCTCATACCTCCTCTTTGCACAAGAGTTCGCACACAAACCATTTCCTTCCCAAGACTGCAGCTGTGAGAATGTACATAGAGGACAGATAGAGGACAGAGAGATGAGACTCCTAGAGATGGAGGTAAGGAAGTCAGACACATAAGGACTCATCCAGCCTAGTCCAGAATGAGAAACCTCCTCTGATATCCTGAGGAGAGTTCCTAGAGCCTTCTGGGAACCTGGTGCCCATATGTGCCCCCGCCACCCCTTCTTCCTCTCCCTCACCTTCTTAGCCTCCTTTCTCGCCTCCTCCATTCAGCTTTCCCCAGTGGTTCAGGAGATGGGAACTAAGGCCAAGGAGCCACGTGGGAACACGTGTATTAGCTAGAGCTTTGTCTTTCTCCTCATCCTTTCTTTTCCTTTAACTTGGCCTTTCTGGCTTGCCATCTGCATCAGCACTAATGGACAAATGGAGCAGGTTCTTCAATGGTAGGAGAATCATCTACAGTGATAAGGCAGGAGAGGATAGAAACCTGTAGCCTAGAAATTAAAGAGCTCAGAACTCCTGTGGCTTCAAGAACTGAGGACATTTAGTATGGAAGGGACATATCTAAATTAGGGACTGCCGTCATTGTACCTAAGTGACATCATTTTTTTTTTTCTCAGAAAGGACATGTTCTAGCATGCATTGCCCTAGTTATCCACTAGAAATTCTTTTTGACTAAGTTGTTGCATCTTGTCTTCCTTTAAATTTGGCAATGAATTTCCACTGCTACTCCCGCTATGGGCCCTTGTGAAGAAGTGTGTTTATCTCCACAGATTCATATTATGTTTGGGCTAATTCACTTGAGATGTCAGGCTGCTGTGGGCTGAGGCATGTCCACCAGTGGACAGAGGGTGTCACTGTCTGACCCCTTGTGAGCTACAGCAGAGGGCCAGCGGGGTCCCACAGGAAAGCGGAAGGCACACCTGATCTATGGCCCGGTAGACTGTTCTGTCTCTTCTTTCAGGGAAGCAGAACCCAGGGCTCTGTTTGGACTTAGGTTGTAGGGACCTGGATTGAGGTGGGATTCGGCAAGACTAAGTGACAGAGTTCAGAGACATAGGTATGCCAGAAAAGACAAGCACATGTGCTTGGAAACCTCATAAGGGCTACTGTCCTTACAG